ACAAGGCTAAAAGGTCAATTTTAATATACTCAAAGGTTGCTTTGTTGAAACAATTAAAAAGCTACGTATCCTCTTGAACAGACATGGAAAATTTGTACATCTGAGCTGGACCTGACAATTTCAAAAAACAGGTGGCTATTGGTATTTTCCACATTCATGATGGGCAAGAGTAAGGCATATAAATAACAATGTGGCCCACCACAAATTTTGAACTCTGTTCTCACATAAAGACAAAGTCTGCAGCTGTCAAAAGAATGCAGGAGTGATCAGTACTGTTATCTACTCATTGAGCAAAGTCCATATTATCTTGAAACATGGATGGCATGTCAACATTTCCTTTACTACTACATTTTCTGGCTTGAAGTAGTACAAGTTATCTCTTTCAGCTTTACAAGAGAAGATCCACAGGTTGATCAGATTGACTAAAGACACACACACACAAAATCACTTCCTGTTTGAATTTCACATAGGATGATTGACTCAAGCAGAATACCTAAGAGCAAATCTCTCCAACCAGCATTTACATATACAAATGTTGGCTCCACTGTATTCCATAAGCCTCCAAACTGCCTAATATAATGTTCTTTGAATGATTTGGCATTTTATACACACAGAGCTTCAGGATGCAACAAAATGCACACTACTTCTGTATTTCAAGATGTCAGTTAAATTCTTAATGTTCACGGGTTTATAACTAACATCAAGCACAAAGTTTTTTGCTGGTTAGGGACATATTTTGCACTTATATCACCAAGTTTCTGCTTTATACCTTCAGTAAACTGAAGTCAAGAAATCTAGAAAATACTGGAAGCTCTACTATACTGAGTTGAGCTTTGCAGCAAGAAAGTTGCCTTATGCTTAACTGCACAAGGCCTTTCCAGCATATGCAGCGTTCCATTTTTCACATACCTGTAACTGCTAAGCAAGTTGTTTTGAAGGATATCTACTGAGATCCACTGTCACAAGTTTCTGGCTTTGAGCTTTTCACACAGCAGCACTGAATAGGGCTTTCAATAGAACCAGGTGCTCTTTGTATTGACCTCTACTGCCTACCATTCAGAAGCTGCTCCACAACAAGCTTTCCAAACCACTGTCAAAATTCAGCACAGTACAATTATTTATTGCACCATTTCCACAGAATCATAGAATGGCCTGGGTATTTCCCCCATTTATCTATCTTCTGTAGAGGTGATCATTTACGTTGTCATTCCCTTTTTCTCATTTTCAGTTATGCTCACCAATTCACACACCAAAATTTATTAATACTTCTAGTCAAAGTTGTTCTTTTTGAACACATGTATAAATGACATCCATGTAGATGCTTTCCTAATGTTTGTAGTCCAAGACAAATTCACAAGAAACTTATGTCCCAAGGCTTGAGACTATGCTCCTGCCAAACACAAGTCCTCTCTGATTTGGAAGCTTCCGCAGTAAAGCACGTGCTAAAGCCAACTAGTCTATCATATCCTTAGTCTTCACCTGTCTCAGATAAATGTATTTTCCATGTTTACCTGACAGAAGAAAAAGCATCCAAAAGAAACGGCTCCAGATTGGGAAACAGAAAACTAAATTCTATCCCTATTTTGCTGAATTTGAACAAGCAATGAATTCCCGTCACGCTATTTGTGTATAAACCACGCCACACAAGGAACCTCTCACTTGCCATTTGCAAAGTTTCTCTACACAAGTGGATTTTAATTTCTCCCAGAAAACGCAAGCCTACATTAATATAATGCTACTTCTATTATTAACATTAGTAAATTTCAAATAAGTGCACTGAGTAAAATTGGGTATCAATATATATATTTTGCTTCCAGAAAGCTCAATTGATTTGCTATTCTTGGAGGCAACAGCAGTATTTCTGTAAGCAGCAGTCATTTCTCATTAAAATATTTCAGTGTCCCTGATATCCAGCCATCTCCTGCTTACTCCTTTGGTGAATTAGCTGTGATTGAATTCTTCTTTTGCCCTTATGATTGACATAAAAAACTCTTACCAGTGTTCTCATATACCCATAATAGTCTTCTGAAACAATTCCTACTTTGAGTATATATTAATTAATTACTTCTATTCATTCCGAAGTGAACTGTAATCAGCAGGGAGCTCTTCATCATTCTTCAGAATATTTAGCACTCTTAAAGTGACACCATTTGCTGTGCTTTTATGAAGCAGCTTATTGCTCTAATTCCTTCTTACGAGATCCAAATTTTGCAAGTCTCATTCTTCACCCAGTCATTACCAATCTTTTCTTAGCACAGCTCTAATTTCACTACTTGCCCCTTTGTCGCTAGCAAGATACTGATCTCCCTTGTGTACAGTTGAATCATTGTCTAATCTTTCTCTCTTTTCTCAAGGACAAAACACCAATCTGTGCTACCAAATTAAATGTCTCCACACATTTCGCTTCTATCATTCCTAGATATTTTGTACTATTGTTGTTATCAAATTTTTCATTTATGTAAAGATCTTAAGTTGGCATTTTCTTCCGTTTACTTATTTCTCTCTAATATTTGTCCAGTCAGCCTTCATTTCTTTTCTACAGCATTCATCTACCACGAAACATTTTCCCACTCTCTCCAAACAGGAAAACAAATGTAGCTTTCACATTTTCAGTTGTGTTCTGTATCACCTGCCTGAGATCCCACAGTAGCTGTCAAGCCAAATCTAGCAGTTCTGCAAGCTGTGAAACCAGTAAACCTAGTTATCCTGGAGTATTTCTTATATCCCTGCCCCACACTCTTAAGATTATCCCAGCTTTTCTCTTGTCCTCTATGATCTTATCATCTAGTAGCAGTTCTCATGCCAAACCTCTAAATTCTCCCATAGTATCCTGGGTAAGTAAGTGCAAAAGTAATTTATAAAACATGAAAGGAAAAATTGGTCTAATTAGAAATTCTAAGCTACCATAAAAAACAACTTAAAAAATCTAGCTGTGTACAAATGTATGTTGAGTTTTCTTAACCTGCATGCAAATCATTAGATCTAGAAAACAACTGCTATTAATTTTCTTGTATGTGATGTTAACTCTGAAATTACAGATGCAACATAAATGCCAGCAGTTAGTATTTCACTAGCACACAAGTTTTACTAGCACTTAGCTGCTTCTGCAAAAAGCCCCAAACTGCCTTCTGTCGGAAAACTCAGATATATCAAACCATCTCCCGTTCTTCTTGTGTTCACAATGTCTACAATGCATAGATAAAAACAACTGAAATAATTAAATACCAAGAATAAAAATCTTGTTGATGTGCTGATGTTGATATTAATCATTGGATTATGCAAGGCACCTAAATACACAAGCATGAATTATGCCACCTGAAACCGCTATTTTACATCCTATCTGCTTTAGAAACAGAAAGTCACAGCAATGAACATGATCCGGTTCATGAATAAGTCTTGGCAACACTTGAGAATTCTGGCATTCCTATTAAAGAAATTAAGCAAATAGTCAGCAGGCTTGTCTATCCAAAAAGCAGGTTTTAATTTGCATGGTGAAGCATTGTATGTTGGAAATGACAGCAAATTTGTTTAAAAGTGAAAAACTCGATTCAACGTCTGTGACATAAAGAAGCAGTAACACCAATACCTACAGCTGCTCAGGAAACACTAAGTGGTTCAGAAGCTTAGGACAGAATAACACAGACACTTGGATCTAGGAACTGGCATCTGACAACTTCTACAATTTGTATTTATTTTTATTCTTATATGTGAAAAAATAAACATAAAAATATAAGTGAAACATACTGCAGTTTACACCACGAATATATGCATCAAAACTATCTACAGGTTGTGCATTGCAGACTGACAATTCATATTTCTGTTTTTTTTTTTTGTCCTAGAACACCCTAAAACCTTTTGCAAAATAACAAGTATCTTAACCACAGAGAAACAGGATGGGTCATTAACACAGTAGTGACCTTCTGTACCCAGACTTAGCATCCATTTTAATTACAGAAATACTTCTGAAACATGACTGCCAATTAACGTGAAATACTTTTGCCTGTGAGGGACCTTTTATATAATCACCTGCAGCAGTAGAGATCGTCTGTTACTTTCATACAACTGCAGAAGGATAGCAGTTTCATTAACTCAGTAAATTCAAGTACATTCTATTCAAAGGCCTTTAGGTTTCCCTATGTTCCTAAATGTCTTAGATGTGTGATCTTATGCTAACTCCTTACTGAACATACTCTGAAATTCATATTCGCTACTCACAGAATAAATAAAAACATTGATAAAGCAACTGTGGCAGTACTGAGAAGAGTAGCAAAGAGAACAAGGAAGAGAAGAATTGAACCTGAATTTCCATGCTTACTACAGCTCATCACAGATGAACAATTCTGCACTTACCGAACTGAACAGCTACCTAACCTTGAGGAGCTGAAATTCAGATACCCACTTACAGCCATCCTTCCACACTCCTTGTTGCTCTTAGCATCACACATTTATGGGCTTGGTGGTTTGGAGCACACTTCCATAGGCTTTTTAGAACTAGAACCACCACTCCAGCAGTGCGTTCACCTGTGTATAGCATGCGGCAGCATTCACAACAGCAGCAGCAGCCCTGTAGCTATCCTCCAGGGGTCACAATTGGGTTACAAATTCTACAGAATGTGCTGACCGTGCAGCCTGATCTCAAGCAATTTATTCACATCCTTCTTCATTAAGATTCAAATGGAATAAGTATAATAAAAATTGAACAGATACAGAAATTGTGCATGGCTTGCTTCTGTAGTCAGTAAACATTTATTCACTAGGCACAGCTCTCTCTCGTACTCTCTCTCTCAGATTCTCTCTCTTTCCCTATCCTTCCTGCTCGCTGTTTTAATGCATAATTAAGAAGGTCAGAATTAATGAAGCAGTGTGGAGTAAAGTTCAAGGAATCCCCAGGCACTATTTATTCTATTAGATCTCAGGAATGAATGTCAGATTGGCAGCATTAGAGGCAGAAGCAGCAGAGCTGGCAGCAGTCCAGGAGCAAAGCTACCACAGAGGCTTACCTGCAGTGTTAAGTCGTTGCTGAGCTCTCTCCCTGCAAAAATCACCCGCAGCTGGTCAGCTGGAACTCCCTGTCGCTGCGCAACTGCCTCCTTCAGCTGGAGGATGCTGGCATCCAACCCAAGCTCCACCGGGAAGCCATGGCTAGAGTTGAACCTGACAAAAACTGAAAAAGAGAAGACACCTTTTAAAGCAAACATTTCTCACTGCCTATCTGTACTAGAGTGACTGACTACAAGAGACTTATTTGTCAATTTCAGAGAGCACTGACTATTTTAAGAGAAAAGCTACTAATACTGTAATGTATCATTTGGAAAAGAAGAACCGTATGGGATTTCCCATCACAGAATAGTTAGTAACCAATAAACAAAAGCCATGTGCTTCCCCCAGCAATGCTATAAATTGAAGAGACCCATCAGAACCAAAAGGGACCCACATTCAGGCAGAAGTCCAAGCAATCAATAATTTGTGAAACAGATTTTTGATCCACAACTAACATTAACAGACACAGGGCACGTATACTTTCTGTGCCCCTTGTGCTCTTCCCTGCTGCATGTAACAAATAGATGCAGAAAACTGAGTTTTAGAGCTAAGATATATTAAATAATACTAGGAAATACTAGGAAAAACAATTCGCTGTTACACAGTAAATCATGGTTCCCCACAGATATAATTCTATGGAAGATAATGATGGAGAGAAAAATCACACGCTAGCAGAAATGTTTGGAAGTCTTGTATTACACTGTGGTCTTTTCAGAGTTCACTAAAACATCTGCAGTACATAACTCCTGCTGGTATGTTCCTTCAGTGCAGGAAATCACTAACACACTCGCCATATCATTTGTAGAGCTGCAGAGAATGGTTTATATATGCTGAGAAGCTTGGCAAATAAACTCACGAGCTTAAAGCCATTCAGCTGGCAGAGTTGTTTTTCACAAGGGTGCTGAATGTGCTCACTGAGACCATGACCAGGGGAACGACTACAAGAACTATGCAACGGGAAAAGCTTGACTACCTCCATACCAGTCACTGAGGCTGCATGAACAGTACACTCAACCCCAGTGGGCTGCTTCAGCCAATAAACAGCTTCACTGGCAGAAAGCAGAGGGATTAGCAAAAAGTAATATAAAACAATAAAAATCATTTGTATCAATTAGTCACTGGATACCTGACATCTGAACTGTTTAGGTATTGACTGCAATAACCATCCCTCTTAATGATTTTCCATTCACACTGCAATATTTTAACTGAAGATGTACTCCTTTGAATTTTTTATGACTGACAGAAGCATAAATTCAAAAGTGCTCATGCAGTTTGAGGAAAACTATTAAACTGACAACAGGATCAATGATTGTCCAAACACAAAGTCTACCTGACTACTGTAAAGGAGGCAAATGCTCTAAGAGCATGTGAACGTAGTTGAGAATATGCCAATTTTTTTGCTGAGCAATGAACGTGGTAAATATTTGCAATTTCAAATCTTTAATATAGATTTTGCTATTTCTAGATAATCATTAAGGGCATATACCAATATATATGTGTATATATATATGTGTGTGTCTCTGTGTCTGTCTGTGTGTGTCTCTGTGTCTGTCTGTGTGTGTCTCTGTGTCTGTCTGTGTATATACATACATACACACACACAAGCAGATACACTCACATACACACCTAGCATCTGTGTACGTGCACTTCCAAGAACTTACTCCTATCTAGTAAATAATGCTCTTTTTCTTTAGTCTTATAAAAACCAATGTCTTAGCTCTGCAAATCAAACATGCTGATAAGAGGGAAGTACATGATAAAGTAGCAAAAAAGTGATGGGGAATTTAAATGAGTTCTGAAGTACTACTCTCTTTCCAAAGACAGATACATTTAACACAACTTATTGCATGCTGCAGCAGAATTGCCAGACCACAACCCAAACCAATGGTTTTGCACCAGGTGAGAAGGCATGGCTAACTCAGAGATCTCAGGTGTAAACAATGCACCTGAGTAACTAGAAGGGGGTGGAGCCTGGATCCACCCCTCCTCACCCTCATTTAAGAGTTAGAAGAGAGCAATATCTCTACAGACAAAGATCGTGCTCCTCTCGAGCCATCACTGGTTGCTGGAAAGGGTGAGCCATTTTTTCTTCTTTGCTTTGTAGTGTTTGTATCCTATTAGAAGGCACTGTCATTGCCTTCTTTCACCATACACAAGCATAATTCATATTCTCCATCAGCAGCTGCCATCCCTTTCCCCATGCATGTTTTCATGCATCACTAAGAGGAACAGTCACCCCCCTTCCAACACATACAACAAAGCAGAGCATCCATCTCACAATTCTAATACAAACATATTTTCCCAGCAAAATGCCCTGCTGTATGTTTCGTACCAGGTCTAGTAGTTGCAGATGGACATACAAAGTTAACTATGACTTCATGAATTAAGTCATTGCTGAGCCATGATACCTGGCTGCATTAGGAGTCCTTTATCATTGTAATTGTAAAATAAAATGCAGCAATGTAAGCCAGCTGCACAGCCACAGCAGAAAGAGCATAAACAAGTAGTAAGGAGCAACTCATTTAGCTAGACTATTTTGGTTGCCTACGATAATTTATAAATTACCTTCACCTTAGAAATGATTTTATGATGTAGTCACACACAGAAAGCAACACAGTAATCAAACATAAACAGTGTCTATAAAGCCTCATCCTTAGTGAGGTTATTTCTCTCCTTAGCAAAGGATAAAGTGTCTCACAGAAGCATCTTTAATTCTAGTTAGCACTAAATGAATATCATAAAGAGTTTAAAAGTGTTCCTTGATTAGTAACTCAAATTTTTATATTTCTGTTTTATATCCATTTTAAATAGAAATCATGATTGACTTTTATTCAGACAACTATTTATGACAGAGCCATATGGGAGTATTCATAATTACTATATTTGTGCCTGCTATCAGTTTTGTACAAAATCATGAATAGCACGGAAGGGATGAGTAGGGACTAGGCATTCACTTCTACTGTAAGATTTAGAGGGCATCAAGCTGAGCTAGTAGGAGCTAGGTTCAAATCAGACAAAATGAGATGTTTCCTCACACTTGGGAACTCCATGTCAGAGAAGTGGTAAATGCAAAATGCATAGCTTGGACTTGATGGGAGAAAAGAAACAAATTGAGATATGGCATAGGCAGCTCAGGAAATTCTTTACTCAGGAGTATAACATATGCTAGTACAAAATAGTTTGCACATAGGTTTTCAGCTTAGAGGCCTACGTTTTCAAGTTACATACTAAGTCAAAGAGGAATTTACCACTGCAAGGCCAGTCAAATAAACAGATACCAGAAAAAGCCTCCCTCTCCCACTTTTAGGGGAATATTCATAAGATGTGAGAAATCAGTTTTGCTCATCCTCTTTCTTGAGGCCTCTGCTTATGGTCACTGTTGCAGACAATAATATACTGTATCAAAAAGACTCTGAAATAGCATGAGAGCTTTCCTGTTGTAGGTGTCATGGATTTGCATTTACAGACACACTGTTCACAGAACGCAGTATTGAGTGAAATCTAGAAAGCAGATAGATTAAGTCTTCTCTATTCTCTTCCTCTTTCCCACTACCAAGTAATCCAAACCCAGACAGGAACCCACCTACCACACTTCTTTTTGCCAGAACTACGCGTGCACATGTAGTTGCTTTCCTGTATTTCACAATGCAAAAATTTAAATTCAGCAATTCTCACAGTAACCTAATTTTGTTCTATGAAGCATGCCTCTTAATCCAAAAGACAAGCTAAATTTGTCCAGTAAATTATTTCCTGTGAATGATTCACTCAGTTCTACTACATCCAAACTCTCTTTAAAGTTCAAGGAATGCATAGCTAACTAACCGAGCACTGCAATTATGCTGGCACTTCCTTTAAAAGTCTCTCAAAAACACTATTTGCCTAGCTATTTTTGTCCTGATTCAGCGGCTGCTTGTGTCAGCACAAAGCAGCCATGAACTTCCTTGATACAGAACTGAGCCACATTTGTGTTTCATTTTAAATACACACACTGTTCCTTGATGTGCTTGTGAATGTGTAAAAGTATTCAAAACTCTACATATTTCCAGCTATATGCTACAGCTTTCTACTCCAATAAAAGTATTACATTAAAAAATGTAACATATACTCCTGCTGCTTTTAAATTGTCCATCCCGGGGAAGAATAGGCCTCTGCTTTTGCAAAGAATGAATGAGTTCAATGGCATTTGTAAAAGGGTCAGAAAAACCTAAGTAAGGCTTATAAAACTACTGCAATCATTTTAAGACTGCAAGGTGGGGAACACAAGAGTGAGATTCCATTCTTAACATTTATTCTCATTTGCAGCTCCCCAAGAAATTTAACACATTTGTCTTAATGCCTCTACATTCTGTTAGATATTAGAAGCAGTACTTGACAGCAAAAAAATCACTAACATGAACACATGCTAAATGTGACAGCTGTTATACTTCACTAAGAAAGAAGTTTTCTGACCATAAGGTGTTGGTTTTTTTTTTTTCCAGTAGAAGACAAAGGATTACCAACATTTAAATTACAGCTATTATAATATGGATAAAATTTTTACAGATATGTACAATTGGAACTGATAGAAATGATTAGTTCTACATATAAAAAAAGACCAGAAGTCCAAAAGAAAGCATATGTATCCAGCTACCTACATGTAGAAATTAAACAAAAATACAAACTTCCAAGAGCTACTACAAATAAAACCAGGCAAAAACCTCAAGAAAATAAAAGTTGTCACAGCACCAGCCACAGTTAATCCAATTATATGTTATACAGCCACCTGTGCTACTGAAAAAAAAAAAAAAAAAATCAGAGAACCACAGAATCACCAATGTTGGAAAAGATCTCCAAGATCATCTAATTTGGCTTCCCTCCTTCCACCAATATTTTTCCATTAAACCACATCAACATTAAACCATGTACAACATCTAAACATTTCTTGAATACACCCAGGAATGTTAACTCCACCACCTCCCTGAGTACCACACTTCAGAGCCTGATCACTATTTCAAAGAGAGTAAGTTTCTCCTAACACCCAATCTGAACCCCCATAGCACAACTTGAGGCCATTCCCTCTAGTCCTTTGCTAAAGAGGGTTAATCCCTCCAGTTTTTACAGGAGTAACATTGGAATTTCTTAGTTTTTTGATGTTTAATTTTCTTGGATTTTACTCATTTCTTTTTTTGTATTCCAGTACCATTACAATCACTTTACAATTTGTTTTACAAGAGGCCCAAATTACATCATAGATCAATCAATCACAAAGCATTCCATTTTAAGAGTGCATTCTGTAGTCTGTCCTCCTCAAGTACCTATCCAAATAACCCGTTTCAATGAAAAATAGTCACCTTTACAGCAGATAAATACGCTTCACTCTTTAACAGAGCCTCACCTTTCAATGGTGACCTAATCTACTTCATACACTTTGCTTTCAAACCATAGATATATTCCTACTGCCCTTTCTATTTCCCCCAAACCAATATTCCCAACTTTAAAATTACTACAACAGCAGTAACAGACCTGCACGTACAATTACTCTACAGAACAGCTCAAGGAGATACTTATCTGGGCCCCAGGTGCACAACTAACCCCAGCTTCTCCCTTCCTTATGCTGACCATGTTCAGGCCCCCACTTCCACCCCCTTGGGCTGTCAGCCTCTACCCCAGGAACAATGGCAGCATCCTTGCTCTGACCAAGTCATTGCTAATTCCACCTCAGCTTTCTGATGGACAGGACCTGACATGGTACCCTGGCCACGTGGATCCCTAGGCTGCCACTCACAACATGCTCAGCCTCACTCACCTCTACCTG